GAGAGAGAGAGAGAGAGAGAGAGAGAGAGAGAGAGAGAGAGAGAGAGAGAGAGAGAGAGAGAGAAAGAAGGAAACGATGACGCCGATGGTGGTGAACCTTAGAAAAAGGATAGAGAGAAAAGCAAGACCGAACGAAGGAGACAAACGCACATCTCCCCGAGCCCTCGAGAAAGGATCTAGACTCTCTAGGGCCAAACCACCTCTCTCTTTCTTTCTCTCCTTTTACCCCTTCCCTTCCCTTCCTCTCCCTCTCTCTCTCTGTCGCACCTCGCGCGTTCCTCTTTCTATCTCCTCTCCCTTTCTATCCGCCTGCATTCCTCGCACAGGCGCATAGAACGGAGCGTACATTTCTTTCTTCCCCTTCTTCTTCTCCTCCTCATCATCCTCCTCCTCCATCCTTCTCATCTTTCTTCCTCCTCTTCTTCACCTCTTCTTCTTCCTTCTTGAACTCACATCCTCCTCTCTCCCTCCAACACTAATTCACGTTGACATCTCCGCTCTGCGGACACACCGACCGACCGAGGGACGGATGGACGGACGGACGGATGACTGTTGGCGTTGGGAGGGTCAGGATGACGACGACGAAAGGGCCAAACAAGGTGGATACCGACTGAACGGATAGTTCCTATCGAAACTATCTTTTCTCTCTCTCTCTCTCTCTCTCTCTCTCTCTCTCTCTCTCTTTCTCTCCTGGAAATTCGCGAATCTATGACTTTTAATGGATCTTTTTTCTTTTTTCTTCTAAAATTGTTTCTAGTCTTGCGTGTGTGTTAATGCTTTCAAGTTTTTGAGGAGTACAAATGTGACGATAAATTTTAATACTTTTTATAAAATAATTGTTCGTTAATTAAAATCCGATCGACACGGGATAACAATTGTACTTATTGATTAGCATTAAAATGTAACCGATATAACAAATGTAAAAAAAAAAGAAAAAAAACAAAAGAATTTGAATTACTACGAATAAATTGATATTTCTCAGAACACCATTAGAAATTATTAACGTGGGTATATATCTATCCCGCGTGTTCGATAAGATCGCGGTAAAATCGTCGATGAAGATTCAATGATTAATCTGTGATTCAACGATTAAAAAAAGAAAAAAAAAGAAAAAGAAAAACAAGATAGGTAGTAAAGGAAAGAGAGAAGAAGAAGAAGAATAGAAAGGGGTTTCGAGAGTAGAAAGAGAAAGAAAGAAAGAAAAGAAGAAGGCTTACAAAAAGGTTTGACAGATGGAATTGCTTGGGAGTCCGGTAGACGTGTAGAGATTCGTGTTACATGTCCGAGTGTTTGTCTAGGCCCTAAATAAATGTAAATCAAGCATAGTAAGCTACGACGGAGAATTGGAGTCCCATGGTTTTCTGGGACTGAATTTCTGGGATCCTCATGCATCATTCGACTTTACGTTCTATACCTATATAACCTATGTATATGTTCCTGAAATACCCCACCCGCCACCCCGCCTTCTCGTGGGATTTCGATGCCTCCGCTTTCTTTCTTTGCTCTTACAAGGAAAAGCAATGTTAAAGAGAAAATTATTCTACTCTAACGCATACTTCAAACAACGTTCGTTCCTTCGTAAAAATGTCTGATGTTGATGCCATGCTGGTAGCTATCCTGCTTATACAAATAATTATTCAATCCCCCCCCCTAGCCCCCTTATCACCCAATTACATTCAACTCCGACATTCCACTGTACCCCTTCTCGTCTTCTTCACCACCACCACCACCACCCATGTTCATCGTTTAGACGTTTATTATTACCGATCGAGACCATTTTCTAGATCGAGGTAGGTTAATAGAAACGATATATCTTTGCCTACTATTAAAATTATTGTTATTACTATTATCATTATTATTGTTATTATAAGGATAGGAGGACGAGTAAAGGAGAAACGGGGAGGGATTTCATTTCTTTAGATTACCACTTGGCGAGGTGAGCTGCTAGGATGTACAAAGCACTAATTATAGAGTCGGATCATGCAAGGAACAATGTGTGCGCTGCATTTTGCCGAAGCGGAATGCGTCGGACTTATCTTGCAAAAGCGTTTCTGCCGGTGCATTGTTGTAGTCCTCAACATACCACTTACTAACTGCTCCCAGCTGCCTTTTTTCTTAACATCATCGTAACGTTCAATGGATTATGTTCAGTATTTATATATATGTGTGTGTGAGTGTAGGTATATTATATTTATTTCTTTTTTTTTTTTGTTTTTTTTTAATTCGCGAAAAAGAAAAAAAAAGTCGATAGGAGGAAGAACGGAAAGAATGTTTTTCGAAAAGATTCGAGTTCGGCAAAAATGGTCGTCGTTGTTTGAATCTAACGATCGCAAAGTTTCTCCGGTTAAAAGTAAGAAGAAAAAAAATGTTGATAGAGAAGGTTTCTTAAATGAAGTCGAGAGGAGAAAAAGAGAGAGAGAGAGAGAGAGAGAGAGTGGCTCGAATTTTCCTTATCGCGTTGGTCCGTTAGTCCCGTCGGAGAGAAAACCAAAGGACAAAAGAAACAACAACTTAAATGCGAATGATCGGTCTCGCACGTGAGAAAGAGAAAAAGAATGAAGAATAAAGAAGGGGAGAAAGAGAAAGAAGAAAAAGAGAGAGAAAGAGAGAGAGATAGAATGGGCGATATATAACATCCCTCGAAATTCGTGCGTATCCTATACGAAGAACCGAGTGAACGAGTTGGAGAGAGAGAGGGAGAGAGGGAGGGAGAAGAATCGGTCCCCGAAAACGGTGGGACCGTATCTGACGGTCATTAGCGAGCGCGCGTTTCTGAGCCGCGAGATAAAAAGCTCGGGCTCAGACCAACCACCAAGTAGTATATTTTACCGGGGAACATAGTTCCCAGGAATGATCACTATGCGAAGGTCACCCGATTATTAAAAGATATGGGGGAGTTTCGGGGAATCATTCTCTTTTCAAC